GCGGATATCAGTTGAGTCTAGAAATATGTGAAAGAAAATACGCGCGGCGAAGCCGCGCCCGCCCGGCGCAGCCGGGCCGTATCAGAAGGAGGCACGCCGGCGTCAGCCGGCGAGCCGACTGGTATATATATATATTAGACGAATGGTATTAACCGTAAAGTAAACTGTAAGCGTAAGAAACAGGTCCGCAAACGCAAAACTCGTGCGCTTTCTCAAAGCCGGAGTAAGACGCTAGGGCGCTAGTTTGCTGATGCAACCCACGCTGACATGGGCGCGGTTACTAGACGCGCTGGTGTCTGTCCCTTAGTTCGTCTCCCTCCTCTCTCATCTGGCTGATATCTAACCTCTCGCCCAGGTTCTCGGTGTTTCTTCGCCAGTTTCTCATGCAATGCCCAAAATAGATAGCACAAGAAGCTTCGTAGGTGTTTTTCAAGGTTCCTCCGCTTTTTTCTTCACGACCCACATCAAGACGGGCCAAAAAAGGCTCCTCGCTCATGGGGAGTGTCACCAAAGTTTGGGTGACACAGAGTGGCAAGATACCAGGAAGAACCAAAGTATCTCGAGAATCATCACAAGAATGCTGAGTTGGGGAAAGTCAGCCCCCAAACGGGACTTGAACTCGCATCTCCCGCCTACCGGGCGATTGCGTTCTCCATTACGCTGCCGGAGAGGCTCTTACCCTTTTACAAGAGCGTCCAGTACCCATAATTAAGCACTCTTGCGAGAATGTCTGAAGCGCGTTGCGGGTTAAACAGCACTTATCAAACCAAAACAGTTTTATTCCGAAAGTGTATCTCTATAAGCGGGCGCAGCCCCTTCACGGCAATTTCCACGATCAAGAGAAGGTATGGTCATCCGTCATCACTTGCAGTTTGGCTTCGGTCTGCGCGATTTTCGGGGTTGAGTCGCTTGCGTGCGTGTTTTTGGACCTGTCACTATGGTCTCTGATGGCGCCAGCCAGCTATTAGATCAGCGCTGCTGCGGCTCGGGTTTCCTTTTTCGTGACCCGACCCACCAAGTCACGTTGGTCGCCAAGGGCCTTGGGATCTACAGCACGTCGGTCTGACGGGAGCATACGATGTGGAGGTATGATGTAAGTGTACAATTGCTTCGTAACTCCATGTTAGAAATCTCAGAGGAGTGCGCCCTATAAGCTTGGGGTATTTTTTTGCCCCTCCCCTCACCTCACCTCTTGTTTGGGTTCATTTCTATACCCCGCAAACCACACTGTCTTCCTCTTCTGTTGTCGTAGATTGTTCCTCTAGACCTGTCTGAAATATGCTCCGATGATAGCGTGCCTCCTATGGGCTTGGATATCGTAGTGCCTTTGAATGAAACAAATGGAATCAATGGCCGTTCCGAGATACACGTCTCCTGCAGGGCTGGTGTAAATTCAAGTAGCTCAGCATAGCCAGAGGTGGAATCAGAAAATCTTACCCATACCTCAGAATCTGTGAAGATATGCATGAGTGTTTTCTTTAGGAATACGACGAGGCACTGGAACGAGGCAAGATTGAACTGTTACGTAAATACAAAGCGTTGCATGATGAACGGCTCGCAAAAGCTCAGAAGCAACTCTGACCTGTCCAGTGGGGACAAGAGGACTCGTGGAGAGGTTGTCAATTTTGACGACATTCGAACATTGATTAGGATATCTACAATGTTACATGAGAAAATTTCTCGTTTCAGTCTCAAGGAAGTGATCAGTATGGTAGTGACGACGATCTTCGATCAACTGTATTCAAAAGAATTTTTAAAACCTATAAAAGACGTGTTCCGCCGCCAGATTTGAGTGGTGTTCTTGGTCAGTTAAAAGCATTTTTCGTATTTTTCGGTGAGCTGAAACTTCTGATGTTCACAATTGGACTATTTTCACCATTTTACGCCGCAATGAACTCTGGCGAAAAAAATGGATCCTGATAATACACTGAATGAAACAAATGGAATCAACGGCCGTTCCGAGATACACGTACCTGCAGGGTTGGCTTAAATTCAAATAGCTAAGCATAGCTAGAGGTGGAATCAGAAAAATCAGACGGTCGCCCTTTAGTACTCCCTCTCCTGCTTTGGAGCTAT